ATAGTATAAGGAAAATGACACAATAGGTGAATGATAAATGCTGGAAGGAATGGGAAAAGGAAAACAAATCCTACATATTAGTCAGTTAGGACTTGTAAATACAAATTATCATAGTTCAAATTAGTAGATTATAGTTTAAAGAAGAGGCAGGTTCTGAGCAGGTGCTAAATGCTGGAGGGTGACTTCAGCTTTGAGGAAGTCACTCCTTTCCTTGAAAATAACTACTTTTGTGGAACCAGCATTCATGGATGCCTTGGCTTAGGACCCATGGATAGTTTTGACTGGATATCTCTTTAGATATCTGAATTAACTCTGCATTGCATTGCATTCACCACTTTGAATTACAGCAGTGACATTTTGGGGCTCTTTTTCTTTTTGGAGTTCTGTTTCTTATTAAAATATTTTTAAAGTGGTAAGATATAGTAAAGATGCCAGGAAAAACAAGGTAAATGTCAGTTATGAAAGGTAGTAATCTGAAACTGTTAAAAAAAATACTTCAAAGCATTTCAGCAAAGAGGATAGGCTCTTCTTTGTGAACTTAGCCTCTGTGCACAAATGCCATGAGAAATTTCTAAAATTTCTAAGCATTATTTCATTTTAGACCATCTTCACAACAAACGAATATTTACCCCTCCTTTTGTTTTTAGGATAAATTGAATACAGCATTACCCAATTTGGAATTTGATCAGAGCATAGTAACTTAAACATAATATATTTTCACTTCCAGAAAGCTAATACCTGAATTTTGCAAAACTAATTCCCAAATACTAAGAGAGGGAGTTAAGAGGATTAATTTCCTTAGACTCTTCCTACATACACTCCCTCTGTACTCCTTTCCTCCTCAGGACAGTGGTAGTTTGAGTTAAGGTAATTTTCTGTTGACATCAGCACACAACAGCTACACTTTTGACTTCTAAAGCTGCAGAAAATAATCTCTAACTGATGCTGAAGTGGTGCCACTAGCCCTGTTGTTTCTGTCTCTTCTACCATGGGAACCCCAGCGTTTTGATTTGGACAAATATCTTTACTGGCCTAATGTGACACAGCCAGTCTTTTTAAAACTAGTGATTTAGAGTAGAGTTTCTAATCCAGGTTTTAGCATCTGAGAGGCTATTGCCGTGCTTGGTACAGAGGAAGATCTTATTGCCAAATGACAGCCTCTTGAACAAAAGATTAGAATAAGAAAATTATGATAGTTGGTCATTTTACAGATTCCATTTGCTATCCTTGCACTTATTCCAAGTCTAATCAAACACATGTGTTTGTGTGCCAGTGTTTCAGTTTTAATGGAATTAAATTCTCAGTAGTCAGCTTTTTCAAGGTTTTAGCAGGAAAACAATTCTAATGCCAGTGCTTTAAAAGAAAAAAAAACCACCAAACAACAACAAAAAACCCACTCCCAAACAAACCCATAAGAAACACTGCAAGGTTTGCTATTTGAAAATTTTGAAGGGTGCATATGGCCTATTTCATGCAGAATGCAATTAACCTGTTAGATAACCTGATGATTTTAAAAAATAATCATAGTATCCACCTGGTTCTTGCACTGATACTTTCACTTTAGCCATTTGCCTGATTTAAGATACCATAAAAATAGATACCTTCAGGCCACCTCTGGCTTTTTCAGAGATATAAAAATTAATTTGACATTGTTAGCACAGATATTTCACTTACTTTCTGAGTCATCTTCTGTGTAAATGGTGAGAATATAATTATATTAAAAAAGAAAATTTAACAAGTTATCCATGGACATAATATAATTAACTGAAATATTCATTAAAAAAGGAACATATGAATAGTGTTTATTGCTCAATCTTATTATTTAAAGGAAGGGACTGAAGGAAAACTGGAGAAAGATTTATGGAATGCAATGTTCAAATACAAGTAAATGGATTTATTTGGCAAAAGTGTGTCTTTAATAAATTGGAGCTTATTTTTTCTCATGAAATCTATTGAATTGTAGACCATAATACATATGGTATCTAGGCCCAAACTGTATTTCAAATACTTGAAATTCTTTTTGCTGAGCAGTATCAAGTACTGAGGGGCCTGGACCACATGTATTTTTGAGACTATACCTTTAAAAATTGTTTTTTAATGAAAGCTATTCTGAAATGATTATATATACAGAATTCTTTGTCTGAATTCTGTGCAATATCATGCATGTCCTGTCAATTTAGTTACTGGATAACAAGTGATTTTAAAACCAGTGAAGGAAGAAGAGGGAAGCCATCACTAACAAACAAGTGGTTCACAGTTCAAGAATTGCTAAGACCTTGTTCAGGGCTCAGTGCGGGGAACAGAATTACTTTTATTACATTGTTCTATTAAACTACTGCATGTATAGCAACAGTAATCAAATACACATTTGTATGTTGTTTTATTAAGCTCTGTAATCTGAAGGAAAACACTTGGGACATATTTAGTATAGGAAAAATCTTCTTGTGTAATAGCAGCAGCCAGGAAAGATATAGCTGCACTAAACAGTAGTGGAGGCAGGACTCAAGTAATGTTTCCAACTTGTCAAGGAAACTTTTCTAAAACATGTTTTATGAGTGTCTGAGAAATACAATCAAACCCGAAGTCTGCTAATATTACTTTTCCCAGTCATTCATTGTCCCCTTTGTGGACTTCTAGCAATAACAAATACATGTATTTCTAGTGAGGACAATGTATTTTGTTATAGCATTCATAACCATAAGTGTTTACGTATGAAAAGCAACCTAACCAAATGCACTGAACTAAAACAGGAGACAGACCCTCTGATGACTCTAGGAGAGTGCACCTTTTAAGGCTAGTTTCATAGAAAAGGTACCTAGGTCAACAACTTGAACCACAGACCTGTAAGATGTGGAATAAAGGCATCAATTATTCAGAAAGACCAAAGAGAAACTTCAAACATCTTCTTAGTTCACTAATTCTGGATGGGCAAAAGCAATAATCAAAGGAGTGTGGACTGTATCCTGAGAATGAGTGTGCTTTTAATTCTCAAATAAAGGACAATTTTGAATTTAGGACTCTTATAATTGGGAGTTACATTAATAAAAAACAGGCATCAGCAAAGGCTTCCATCTTGTACAAACTAAAAATCAGTAGAAGTTTCAGTATAGCAACATGTGATAATGTTGCCTGCTGGAGACTCTGGCTAGCTTAAACCGTTTATTTTCCAATTTATACTGCATCAGTACCTCCAGCCCCTCCAGGATCTCTGTGATTCTACACATTATATTAACTCATGGTTCTTCAGGCTCTTCCTTGAGAAAAGTTATCTCCATGTCTACATTACAGTACATTTTATATATTAATTTACGGTCAGGTACCTCATTTCTGGTCTTGTGTTATAGATTCTTGGTGCTATAATCTACCAACTGAATTATTTCAGTAATCTTGGTGCTGATTGTACCTACACCTGATGCTATGCTCTGAATCCACTCCAGAGATAAAGACCTGAGGTGGGACAGGAGCAGGTTTACCTACCATGTAATTGAATTGGTAATTCAGATTTAGGAATATACAGTCTCTTTTCTTTCCTCCAGCTTTCTATTGTAGATTCTTCAAGCACTTCTTAACATCCCCCTCTACCTTTGTACAGGATTTGATTTTTTGTGGGTCATTTGAAAAGGAATCCATTATTTCATAAGATCATTACTGTAGTGCTTTGTGTGCGTGTGTGTGCACATGCGATTTCTACAAAGTTCTCCAGACTGGCAAGAAGCTTTAGAAGAAAGACTACTGAATGAATGCAAATGAATACAGTATCATGTCTGAAATCTAGATGTGGCAACTCCAGAATTCAGATGTTGCACATTCATGAAGTAACATAGGGAAGGCTACATGGCTTCACGTACAGAAAACACAGTTAGAACTAATTTCAGGCACTGAAACTCACTCTTAAAAATTTGTTTTCGTAATTAAAATTATTACTACACTATTCCACAAACTTTTGCGAAATAGACATCAAATGAGGCTATCATTTCTTATTTGCTGGCACAGCTCCTTAACCAGATCTGCCTTCCTCCTGCTATTCCCGCCCTCCAGCCATTCAAACCTCTCCACTGTGCTGTACAGTGCATCAGTTTAAGCCACTGGTCCTGCTGCAGAGGGACTTGGAAGAAAGAAAAGAACATTACTTTCAGTAAAATGCACTGCAGGGCTTCATAAAGAGACCTGTCATACAGTGGAGGATTTGGTGCAGAGAGCAGGAAAAAGCAGCAGGGACTACATCATCCAGTACTGACACCAAAGATATTCATAGGGAACCAGAGTATTAGATTTCAGACTAGTTTTAATCTGAAATAATATTATGACACTTACTTATCTTGCAAAAAATCAGGAGCAGCATTTTTTTCCTACATACTCCTGATCATACATCCTGTTTCCAGGATTGAAACTTAAAAGGCCTGTGGTATTGATTCACAATCAATAAATGCAGCCTAACCTGCTCTGGCATCTAATGCTAACCTTCAGCACAGTAAACTGTCAGTAAGAAAGAATTATGCTTGTTCCTCCCATTCAATTGCTGTAATTTAAACAGCATTAATAGTACAAAAAATATTTTTCATTTAATTAAAGTATTTACATTTGTAAAGTTGGATTACTGACACTTGAAAAAATATGGGAAGACAAAATTTATTAACTAGTAAAACAAAGGTTTACAATTTTTAAGAATACTTCATGGAATATGCTTTTATACCTACTGTTAAAAAAAGATTAACTGTTAAAACACTTGTATCAGTATTTTGCTGTAACTGGGCAAGTCTAAGGACATAGGCAAAGCAGTGTTTGTGAGCAGAAGTAGTCTTTTTCTAGACTAGCAGAAAAAACCTGAAAAATAATTTATAAAATATCTAAATAAATTCTGAGCAGTTGCTTTTAACTTTCATTCAGTATTGAAATACACTGCTTCTAGTTCAGGCCTGGGAAGGATCTCTGAGTGAATGCTGGAGTTTTTTCTATTGGTACGATCTAGTTTTCCTAAATTATCTGATTTTCTCTTATAGGTCATTCTTATGCAAGAGGCTAAAAGTCATTAAATTTGCAGGATGAAAACATGGCACAGGCACTGCTGGTACCACCAGGACCTGAAAGCTTCCGCTATTTTACTAGAGATTCCCTCGCAGCTATTGAAAAGCGTTCTGCAGAAGAAAAAGCTAAAAAGCCCAAGCAAGAACATACGGATGATGATGATGAAAATGGTCCAAAACCAAACAGCGACTTGGAGGCAGGAAAGACACTGCCATTTATTTATGGTGACATACCTCCAGGAATGGTATCTGAACCTTTGGAAGACCTGGACCCATATTATATCAATAAAAAAGTGAGTGAATCATCTTTTGCACAATATAGAACATCATTTTCTACACCAGAAAAGTTTAATCACAAAATATGATGGTTAGAGCCATCAAGGCACTTCTATATTGTGACTCCTTCAAGTTCCATTGAGTTACTTGTTATTTACTTCAATGTAAGGAAGATATATCTTCCTTGAGCTTGCCTGTACTTGAGAACATGACTGCATTTTTCTAATTTCAATGCAGCAGTAAGACTGGATATAACAAGCAACATGTTCCAAGCATGGTTTTGCAGTGGAGATGGTTATAGATAACCAGGTAACATCCATCCAAGTCAGTGAAGTAAATGACTGTAACTGTATTCTTTGTTTCTGTTACAGCTATAGAACAGATGTAAACATGTATCTATATATGTATGTACAAAATCTATCTGTCTATCTACATGTAGCATATAGAGACTCTGCAAATCTTTGGTTATATAAAACTACCACAATGAAAGCTGTTGCTTGGGGTGCTTGGGGTTGCTATGATAGATCTCTGCTGCACAGCTGTCAATTAGAAGTCTGTGGCAGACACCACAGAAAAGCTGTGTTCCGAGGAAGGAATTAAAAAAAGACAGTTTTTTTGTTCTAAAGGCTAATTGAGAGTTTTCATACAGAAAGAGCAGAGCAAAAAGTTACCTGTTGTGAGAGAAAAGTAACATGCTTGAGTTATATGTGTGAGGCTGTAACACAATTGGATATTAACAGCATAGTTGTGCTCCATGAAGAATGTGAACTCCTAAAAGAGGTGTATTTTCCCTTCCATTTGCACAGTCATACAAAGTCCTCATTTTCACATGATTCACGAGCCAGGGACTTGGAGATTGAAAGGCTAGTTCAAACAGATCCATTCAAGTAAAAAGTTTGCCTCTTAACCTCTTTAAAAGTCAAGATCTACAGTAGAGTATATGGGTTTTGGTCTTGTAGAAATGAGCATACAATACAATTATATAACTTAAGGGAAAGACAAGGAACAGATACGTGTATCTCCATAGATGGGATTAGTTGTAGACTGTGTTCAACTCTCCAGGACCTGAAAAAGTGCAGCCTGGGAATAGTTAAAAATACCTTACATCCTACGAAGATTAGTAAAAAATACAGTTGACAGTAAGAGCAGGTTCTCCTCCGTACTCTGTCTGCTTAATTCTGCATGCTCCTTTAGCAGCACCAAGATGTTTTCTCAGTTCCTGATAGATCTGCAAAGTGTTGTGGCTAAGGAGAGTGAAGGAAGATGAAGCTGTGGATAATAAACTGAAATTAAAAAATGCAGGTGTTCTATGGAAAAGTGCTTGTGATTATCTTTCCCTGTCTCTCTGAAACTGAGAAGGAAACAAACACTCTTGCTCTGATGACAGCTTGAGGCATTCGAGGCTCCCATCCAGATAAGAAATGATGTTGAGCAACTGTAAAAAAATAAAGACATCAAATATTTTAAACTGAAAAGAAAGTTATTTTGTTTGTTAGGAAAAAACCATGCCAATAGTGCCCTCAATTTTGTGGCTAAATTTATGGTTGCCTTTGGTTTGCAAAACTATTTTTAAATTATGGCTTCAGTAATAGAAACAGAAAATAAAGCAGAATTCTTATGTAATTGCATAACCTAACAGTTGCCAAAGTTAAATAAACAATGCTGTAGATAATACAAATATTAACATTAATAAGGAAATTTAAAGAAATTAAAGCTCAGAGAGGGAGTGCTGCCAAGGGTTACTTTCATTCATATGGTTTTGGTTTTACCAGCAGTTCCATGCAGATTCTTACTTACAATATAAGTGTGTGCACTAAGCCCTTTCCTTGACTAGCTGCAAAACAATTCAGGAATAAAGTTCCATAAATAAGTTCAGGATTAAAGTTTTCTAAACGAGACTTTTACAAATGGAGTCTCAGAAACCCTGAGGAAGTACTGAAGTATACTTTCTAACTTCCGATGACAGAAAAAGTAGTCAGATTTTTTGGAACAAAAGTGTAAAAAACAGACTACTAATGGGCCTAGTAGTCTATCAGAGTAATTAGTAAACTGCACAATCTTTTGTCACAGGTGACATCTGTATTTATGTTATGTACCAGATTAATGTGCTCAACAGAAAACAAATGGACATCTTAAGTGATGAACTAGAATCAGTCACCTCTCTTCCAGTTTATAGAGAGGAAACTACTCGTAATCATCGACTTGTCAGTGCAGGGAAAATTGCATGTGAATTGTAGTCTTTCTTCAGGCTCTGCTGCAGCAGTGACCTTGGGACAAGCAACATCTTTCTACCACTTTTAGCTGAGTGAAGGACTGTAGGACAGAGAGAAATGCCAATGAGTGTAAGTCCATTCTCTGCCATCCTCAATGCTCCGCTTGATATTATTCTGTGAACAGGTACCGGCAACACTCCTTTACCTGTTTTCTTTCTCACTATAGAGAGGTTTGCTTTCTCTCCCAGAGATAGCAGACCAGATAGGCAGTAAAGGCCACGGAGAGGGCAGCATTTTTCTGATCACAGCCAAGTTTTTACAGAGAATGGAAATCAACATGGAGAACAGTGATACTATGTAGCTCTGCTGAGAGCATAACAAAGACTCTATTATGGTAACGCAAAGCAGGGCCATTACCATCGACAAAGAGCAAAAGGAATGAAGAACAGTCATGTCCCGAAGAAATTTCAAACAGCACCAAAGATGCAAGTAAACCTCACATACAAATACACTTGGAATAAAAATGAAAACACTTAGGCGATGATCACCAACAAGAACAGAATGATAGTGAACAAGAACTGTAGGTTTCTCAGGCCAAATTTTACAAGATAATAACTATCAAAATTTGAAGCTTACATAAAGGAAAAATAAAAGCCTATTGTTAAAAATGAAAACAGCATTTATTTGAAGAAAAGATTTGTTATTGTAGGATGCCAAATATGGTGTACATTTGTCTCAGATTGCTCAGAATGATGTCAGCTGGAACTTTATTAATCCCCTTTATTTTTTCAGATACATTTTTTGCTATTGGCAGTATTTAAAAATCTAAAATTAAACAAAAAATATTTTAAAATTATGGTTAATTGTTTAGCGACAAGTGTTTGTCCTTGTCACCATACATGTGTGTATATAATTCTTTCAAGTATTTGTTTCAGCTGCAGAATTGCCCTTTTGCTCTTTTGGTTTTGTTTGTGTTTGCTCACAAGGTAGAATTTATTTGATTAATTTGAAACTCTGACTTTAATCAAAGACTTTGTTAGAAATGAAATTGAAAATATTTCAGTGATGAAATGATGCATTTTGCTATTATTGATAAACTGACATTGGTGAAAATTCCTACTAATTTTAATAATATCAGAATTCAGTCCACATGCTGTAAAATTTAGCAAATCGGAGAACTGGCTGTGGAAGGCTTAATCCACTGTAATCATAGAAACCAGTCCTTTCCTATCACGAGTAGACAGTAGAATGGAACTTGAACCTCCCAGGCAGAGAAGGGAATCCTTCAGAAGGAAGTAAAGACATTTATGTAGTCAACACTGTATTTTAATTTTGTATTTCTTTTTTGCAGACTTTCATAGTATTGAATAAGGGAAAGGCAATTTTCCGATTCAGTGCCACATCTGCCTTGTACATTTTAACTCCTTTTAATCCCATCAGAAAAATTGCTATCAAGATTTTGGTACATTCATATCCTTTTCTCTTAATGCTGATTTAAGGGTTGCCATTTAAAACTATTTAATTACTGAAATAATACTTTTCATATCGATTTACAAATTTTGTTCCTGTGGGTGTACTATGCTAATTAAACATATGCTGATCACACTTAAAAAGCAGCAATATCGCATGTGAATTGCAGTATGATCTTCATTCTTACCAAGAGAATATTCTACTGAACCACCTAAAGCTGTCAGAGTTTAAACATCAGGCTTTATATACAAAAGGAGACCTGATCCTATACTAAGCCCTGCAGCTAAGGCCAAATTAGTAACAAACCATTGCACTTGAATATATCTAAGGTCACACTTTTACCAAGACTAGTAGTACTATTCATGAACTAGACTCACTTAGCAAGGAGAAAAGAGCATGAAGAAAGAGCTGCTTTTTCAGGCATACTTTTTCAGCATTGTGTTTTCAGCATTGGGGCAGGTGTCCTATAAAAGATCCAGGTCAGAATAAAGGATAATATTTTAAATTATATTTCAATCATGTCCAAAGAGCAACTTATGTGTAAACAACCAACCTCTGCCTTAAGATCTTTTGGAATGATCCCCTTGGGTTCAATGAGTAATTACGTTAGGGTACTTATTTAATATTTTTACAGACTTAAGGATATATTTAAGTTTCATTTAAATCCTAAACCTGCCATAATTATAAAAGTAATGCATTGTTTTACAGTAAGTGCACCATAACATGCCAGATGGCATACCATTTAAAATAGATAGCATTATGTGCAAAGCTTTATTTTCAGATTTATTTAGAATGTCACATTATTTGTACATATTTTTATACACAATATTTTTAATGAGTTCAGTGTTATAAATCTGTCATAATTTTTTTACTTACATGCCTTGACTATAATCTACATTATTCAGCATGCTTATCATGTGCACTATTTTGACCAACTGTGTATTTATGACCATGAGTAACCCTCCTGACTGGACAAAGAATGTAGAGTAAGTTAAATATTTTTACTTCTTTATTTTTATGTCTTTGTTTTTGTGTGACTCAACAAGAAACACTTGTGGAAAGTTGCATGCCAGAATGGGCTTTTCTAGAGTAATGAAGAATCAGATTCCATGAGATCATCAATATATTTCTGGTTTCGTCCTGAATAATTTAAGTAGTTTAAAAGGAATGCCTTGTTCTTTAAAATGATGTCTGAGGAGTGTCTGAACTTCTATTGTGAAGTACAAACATGAGCTTGTCCTTGGGTCTTCTGAGCTGTAAATTGGAAAAGGAGCTCGAACTTCAAATGTGCATGTAAAATTGTTGCATGTCATTGTTGAGGTCAGCCATGTATTGCTTGAGTATCCATGATCTTAGCACAGTGGGACATTCATTGTGGCTCGCTGATGTGAACTCCCAAGTGCCAGCCACAGCAAGCACACACAACACTCACACCACAAGAAACTCAAACTGCTGAGGAAAGGGCCTTACCTATGAGGAAGGAATGAAGAGCTGATAGAAGCAAGGAAACCGCAAAGTATCTGTTTCTCTTTCTTGTTCATGGTTATACATGCATGTTTGCTCTCTAACAAAATTCAAATAGATGTTTTCCTTTGAAATATCATGTTACTATTTGAAATAACACTACTCATGAAAAACCTGGTTCTAACCAGTTGCGGTTTCTTTAATTCCTTCCTGTTCTCCAGTAGCCATTACTGATTTCTATTTATTTCACTGCAATAAGGAATCATACTCTGTGTGCTATATTTAGAAACTGCACTAGTATTCACCTGTTCCAAGTATGCTCAACAGTGACTATGGCTTGTTGGGGTTGCTGAGAATGTGAAAGAGAGCAGTAGGGTCTGTAGGTAGATTTCCTTTATTCTGGAGGTCCGTGCAGACCCATGTGGACCTGAGGAAGACCCTGCATTATGCTGGTTATAACTGACTATTCTATGTTTTTAAATCAAAGATTGTTCCTGCACCAGGTAAACTGGTCATCATGCTCCACACCTTCAAGAATAACAGTCTAGGCATGCTTTCTGATATTTAATGATTATTTATGAAATAAACCTGTATAATAGGCATGAATATAGTTATTATCCAGAACTGATTTTCACAAAACTCTCTGATTTTGACATAAAAAATTTTCTCAATTTTTGCTAACATTTCAACATCTACCTGATTTGTGAATGCAAGCAAATAGGCAGCCCTATGAGCGCCAGAAAACATACATATAAATATCAAAGCCTGAAATGTATCTATAAATTATTTGCAAGCACAAAAACTGAGATTACATCAACCTTTTAGAAAATTAATAGTACATATGTGTGAGGTTTACATTTCATCTACTGAAAAACAATTACATTCTTAAGGGTTTGGGACAATTTAAGGATTTCCTCCTTTCACTTTAAACACTTTTATTTTCTTGTGAGCCATCTTTGATAAAGAATGGCACTGTCTATAAGCATTTGTGTGCAAAAATCCATTATTCCTGATGCTTTTCAGGTACACTTTCACTGGAATTTATACCTTTGAATCACTTATCAAAATTCTTGCAAGGGGCTTCTGCTTAGAAGGTTTTACTTTTCTTCGAGACCCATGGAACTGGCTCGACTTCAGTGTCATTCTAATGGCGTAAGTGGTTCAAGAATTTTTTAAGCTTTTAGGGCATGAAATTAGTGGCAATTACAATAAATATATTGATTTAAAAGTATTTAATTAATTTCTGCAACCTGTGAAGTTTAGACACTGTATCACATACGTTAGTACTCATATATCAAAGTAAAATATGGCAGGAGCTAGCCCAGAATGTCAGCCACTAGCTTAATGACTGCTGAGGGACACTAATTTCATGTCCTACATTTTTCTGCTCACCAGAATGGAAGCCATCCCTTTGACTTCATGTCACCGTCCTATTGCAAGCTAATTAGTTTAATTAGCTGTTCAAATACAAATCAGTGAGTTTCACTTCAATGAAATTTAAGCAAAACCAATGAAAATAAATAATTGTAAAAACTAGGTATACTGAAGAGATGGGTAAATTTTGAAGTATGATTGCTAATATTGCCACAGAGGTTTTGAAGACCCACATAATTAGTATAAGCTCTGCCTCAATTCTGAATAACTGTGATTTAATCCTACAGGTATGTAACAGAATTTGTAAACCTAGGCAATGTTTCAGCTCTTCGAACTTTCAGAGTATTGAGAGCTTTGAAAACTATTTCTGTAATTCCAGGTAAGAAGTAGTTGGTGTAAGGTGTTAGGCCCCTCGTATCTCCAACTGTTATTTGTGTGCTGTCATTGTGTTTGTGTGTGAACTCCCCTATTACAGATATGTGACAGAGTTTGTGGACCTGGGCAATGTCTCAGCGTTGAGAACATTCAGAGTTCTCCGAGCTTTGAAAACAATATCAGTCATTCCAGGTGAGAGCGAGGTTAAACACCGAGGCTGACTTTCGTTCCATTGAAGTTGAATTCACTTCTTTTGAGCATAAGTCTTGCTGTTTGCTGCTCGTGTTGCCAAAAAAACTTCAAAACAAAAAATGGCATGGATCATAGGCCTGGATTATGAATCTTTGCCTTTTCAGCATTAGCTTCTTTTATTTTGCAAAATCAGCCTTTGAGTTTAACAGATTCTTGCATGAAACATAAAATATTAGGCCTATGGATTATTTTGCTTCATTTTTCCGCATTTTATTATGACAAGTTATCTCTTTTACATTAAAAAAAGCTTTAGCGCTATGGCTTTCTTGATTTTTAATTTTTTCCTTTATTTTACCACTTAAAATTGACATTAGTCTTAAAGACAACCAAGTAACAACAAAAACGCTGCCAAAAAGGAGATAAATATTGCACAGGAAAATTTATCAAATGCAAATTATTTTATTCCTCAAAATTACTTGCAGTTCTATCTCATACTATCTTCATAGTGTTGTGAAGTCATATTTAATTTTTTTTTCAAAACTACTTGCCATTCTATCTCATTCTATCTTCATATTATTGTGAAGTCATATTTAATATCAAATGGAAACAGAATTATTGGCAGAATATTAAATGCAGAGAAAAATTAAGAAATAGAATCAAATCTATAACAGGAAAGCATGATTGATAAAGTTTCCTGCTGGATAATAACATTATGTATTGCATTTATTGGAATATATGTACATTTCATATTCATAAAAAAGAACTTTCATTCATCTTCACAAGCTCTGAGGCTGCTCATGAGGCTTTACTTTTTGAGAAATAAAAAATAATTTTTTTTAAGTATCTGCATGACATCTTAATTATATGGGAAAGGCAAAGATATTGTTTGATAAATCTATGGATCTTTTCTCTTTGCAGGCCTAAAGACTATTGTAGGAGCCCTAATTCAGTCTGTGAAGAAGCTCTCAGATGTTATGATCCTGACTGTGTTTTGTCTGAGTGTATTTGCACTAATAGGGCTGCAGCTGTTCATGGGCAACTTGAGGAATAAATGCCTGCAGTGGCCTCCAGACAATTCTACTTTTGAAATAAACGTTATTTCCTACTTTAATAGCACAATGGATGAAAATGGTACATTTGTTAATATGACAGTGAGCACGTTTAACTGGAAGGATTACATTGAGGATGAAAGTAAGAATGACAGATGTAACTATTTTTAATACATTTGTGACTATAATATGTAACTATTTGTGATCAAAGAATATTGAACAGTTTGTATTTCTGCCTTATATAGAACTGCTTACAGTTGCTGACTGACAGAGATCAAATGCATAAAATAAACAAGTATAATAACCAGAAGGGTTCCTAAACAAAATAGAAAGTGATTAGCCACTAGCCACTCCAATTTTATTACAATTTATTTTTATTTTACTTTGTAGTACTTTCAGATTCATTTGATTTATTCACATATATTTCTAATGCTTTCTACACAGCTCATTTTTACATTTTGGAAGGACAAAGAGATGCTCTACTTTGTGGTAACAGCTCTGATGCAGGGTAAGACCCTTTCAAAAATCTGTTATGTTCTGTAGAAAATGCAATAACATGAAACCTATCCATAGCAGTTGCAACTCCATATTTAGCAGTGTAACAGAACTTGCAGTGTTCTGCTGCTAAACAATGATTTCTTACTTAAGTAAAAATATGTTACTCTCTGGCTAAACAAGAGACTCATTAACAGCCTTTCTTCCTGCTTGATTGGAAAATGATGTTGATATTAATGATAAAATCTGAACTCTTGTAAGGTCTGTTTTGGAGATGTATTGATTGAAGAAAGTAGGATGAAAGCAAAGGTTAGAACTGAGAAAGAGAACACATAAAGTATTAAGAAAGCAAAGTAGTGACTTTATAGCTCAAGACTGAATCTTTTTTTTTTTTTTCAAGCCTAACTCTTTTCCAGGACTGGCAAATTCTGTCATACACGTGTCCAATTATGAGTGTAGAATTGTTAGCTGAACTTCAATACTTAACTGGCAACAGTGAAGAAGCTTTAAAAAAAAAAAAAAAAAATCTCAGCATTATATGGGAGAACCCTAACAGTACAATTGGCTTTAGCTCATAATATTGCTTAATTTGACTGTAACCTTAACAACATTTTAGCAATTATTTCTGCCAGGAAATTATTCATTTGGAATAAAGATTCTAATTGCAAAATATGATGAAGGAAAATTTAAATATTTAGCTAATTTCAACCAGTGAACAGATGAAAAGCGTGTCTTGCATTTACTCTCATTAGTTAATTTCTTTGGATTTTTTTTTTTTTTTTCTGAATGAATTTAATTGCAATTCATGGACTTCCTGTGTGTAAAAATAATATTGTTCCAAAAGATAATAAATATGTTCTAGAAGTAAATAAAAGTTATGACTGAGTACTTTCTGTTTGGTTTTCACACAGGCAGTGTCCAGAGGGATATATATGTGTGAAAGCTGGTAGAAACCCCAATTATGGTTACACAAGTTTTGACACATTCAGCTGGGCTTTTTTGTCACTCTTTCGGCTAATGACTCAGGACTTCTGGGAAAACCTGTATCAGCTGGTAAGAAATTTTTATGACATAAAAAGTAAACTGTAGGTGACATTCAAAATTATATAAATAGGCTTATTTGTACAAGAACTGAAAGAATAATGCTGTTGCAAATTGTGTAATAATATATAGATATGCTTTCTACTCTCTAGACACTACGTGCTGCTGGGAAGACATACATGATATTTTTTGTTCTGGTGATTTTTCTGGGTTCTTTCTACCTGATCAACTTGATCCTGGCTGTGGTCGCCATGGCCTACGAAGAGCAGAATCAAGCAACCATGGAAGAAGCAGAACAGAAAGAGGCAGAATTTCAACAGATGCTGGAACAACTGAAGAAGCAACAAGAAGAAGCTCAGGTAATGATGGAATTTTTATTTTCTGAGCAGCTTTATTCTTATGGCAAGGATAATAATCTTTTGTGAATTAGAACATGTATAAATTGTGCAATGAATTACAAAGAGAAAAAAGTCTTGTTCACTATGCAAATTATAAAAGTGGAAACAGCAAAAAAGCAAGCTAATGGTACAGAGAAGAATGCTACTAAGTTCACCAAAAGACTGTAAAAGTAAAATATTTGTGATAAGAGTGTCCTAGAAACCTGACTTTAAGTAGTCATAGTTCATGATGCTTTTATGTTACAGATCTTATGAATAAAATGAAAAAAGTCTAGTGACATTACTTCTGGTTTACAGTCTGGGTGAGAATTGCCAGGCTTCCTGTTCCTTAATAGTTCTTAGGTAATATTCAGAAAACAGAGAGAAGTATTGTAATCAGTGTTCTTTTAAGTTTCTATCCAGCAAATATTTAAGCATGTCCCTAACTCAAGCACACTGAAGTAAATCAAAAGTTTATATATCCTTAGAGCAGACTAGCAATATTTATAATAAAGGTATTACTTCAGAATCCTTTTAAAGTAAGCTTTCTTTTCTTCAAAAAGAGAATAAAATTATTTAAAGATCTCTGAGAAAAAGACATTTTAATAGATACTTTTGTGTCAGGTTTTCATATCTGAAAGTTAAATATATGCAGGAACTCAAGTCTGTGAGTCAAGATGTCTGTCTGTGGTGGTTTGGGTGGAGCACCTCTCCTATGAAGACAGGCT